ATCTCAAACTAACAGGCGGCTTCCGGGAAAATTCGTGTATTCGACCCGTGGTCGATACTAAATCGAACCACGTTTAAGTTCACTTGAGCCATGGTGACCTCGATTGTCATGTAATTGCGATGATCAATCACTAGTTTTAGAGAACGCGATCGTTTGGAATAGGTTTGAAATCGTTTGCAAATTTCGTATTCTGGCGAGGCGGAATCACCCGCAATCCAATTATACGACATTCGCAAATCGATCCATGACCATCCTTAGATCGGTCTATATTAGCCCAAAATATCACCTCGACAATCCTTATGGTTGAAGGTCAGTCCATGGTCAGGTTCTATGGTCGCGCGAATCTAGATCCCTAATTAGCCTTTCCCTACTGGTTAGTGTCCCAAGAGTGATCAAGTCTGGGCGAGATTTACTACAAGTGCGTTATTGAAATTACGCATTTCATAAATACCAAGTGGGTCGAAATTTAGAATGTCACAAATTACTTAGGCCTTAAATAAATTAGTAGGGTATAATTACCCTAAGTCAACAACTTGGAAACCAAGTTAGTATTATGTGGTCCTCAAGAAAAGCTTGGAGAGGAAGCCTAATAATGGCCATAGACTTTAAGATCAACTTCATCATTAACTTAGACTTTTAGGGCCTAATAACCCTAAGATAGAAACTTGGAGACCAAGTTGAGAAATGTGTGGCCTCAATTAAAGGCTTGCATAAGAAGTTTCATAATGGTCAAAGACTTTCTAGGCCTTATCATAATGGAGCTTAGACTTTAGGGCCCTTCATTAATGGATTTTGGCCTTAATTCATTAAGACAATGAGTTGACCATACTATAAATAGGCTTAGTCCCCCTTAGTTTCCACACACCACCTCCTCTTCCTCTCTCATCTCTCACTCTCATGTCTCCCTCTCTCTCCCTTACCCTCACGCCGAGTACCTCTCTCCCTCTCTCTCGCCCGTTCACCGCCGCCGACCGCCATTTCCCTATTCGACCCCCATAGACATTTTTTTGTGCTTGCAGGTGAGTGAATTCCCTAACACTTGGATAGGGCGGTGTGTTACGTGGTTGGAACGCGGCTTGGGAGGTTGTTGTTGCTTGAAACGATTTTGTTCTTGTGCATGGTTGCATGACACTTGGATTCGCTAGTTTATGTGATATGTTGATGTTCTTAACCATGCTTGTTGATTTATGAGCTTGTGAGCTTTTTATGTGTACATAGCAACTAAGACCTTATGTGCGTGGGTTAAGATAGAGGATAATAAACCGGCTTGTGCGACCTATGATGTGTGATCACTAAATGAAAAAAGAAGACCGTCGTCACATAGCGTTGGCAGCGATGCCTCGGTTAAGCCGAGATGCCTTGGTTGAGCCAGGATGCTTGGGTTGAGCCCGAATGCCTGGGTAAGCTAGCCCCGGGATGCCTCGGTTGAGCCCAAATGCCTTGGTTGAGCCAAGATGCCTAGCATGAAGTTGGATGCCTCGGTTGAGCCAAGATGCCCTGGTTGAGCCAGGATGACGATAAATGAATCTTATATGTGTGCCGGTATGTGTGTTTATTGATTAGCCGAAGGTTTATGGATGCCCAAAGGATTCTGGAGGACTCGCCACCCGTGTATTGAGGAGACGATGTCCGATGGATTTTGACTGTATAATAAATGAATTCACGTATGAATATTTTCGGGTATTTTTGCATGCCGATTGATTGAGAGGCTTCACATGTAATTTTTCTTGTACATTTTTATGTGACCGGATAAAGGTGAGCCTTCATGTAAATATAGCAAGGGCAAGGTCAAAGTCTTTGCTATTGATTTGCCATCGACATAAAGCAGAGAAGATATTTGTATGCGTTAGTACGACGGCGAGGCATCATCCTGCACAAGTGTTAATGAATTTACTCATTAAGTTTTCAACTCACTCCCGTTGTTTTCCATGTTTTTAGGATGAGCTCTGGACCCTCGGTTCGTTTGGATGCACCCGCTGAGATGGAGGATGACATAGAGGAGCTAGGATTAACCCTGGCCTTCACTTGTGATGTAACCAGATATAGTTTGTACGTGGAACGGCCCGTAGAAAAGGGCTTGAAAAATATGTTTATGTAATATGGCAATAGTGTGTTTTTCTTGTTGTGCTTTCCCTGATTTCCAGCTATTATTTTGTTTGTGAGTTTGTTTGTACACGTTTCTGCATCTGGTTATTAATCAGATAAAAGAAATGGGACGGTGACGAGCCTAGAATGTCGTATTAATAACCCCGAGGTAAGGACGTTACATGGGGGCTACTGACCCCACCGACTTCTCCAAACATAATGAGCATTACAATGCGGCAATTTGGTACCTTTTGGCAAATGCCCTCGTAAAATTTCTCAAAACATTATTAAGTTAATTTATTTTGGTCCAATTTTCCACAATAGATCACGAAAACACCCTTGAGAAAACTGTAGGATGAAAATTAAGTTTCTAAGCAAATGTATTCGCCATTAACTATGGTTTAACTTTTAAATCATTCGAACAGTATGTTAGTTATTGAAATAAAGAAGTTCAGCTTTAATGTAATTAATGAGAAAATTTTCCCTCACCGGAAAAGCATTCTAGATTTGTCTCTAATTTTAGCCATTGATTTTGATTGGTTTCGTTGTAAAGCTATTAGATCCCACTATATTGAACAACCTCTCGTACTATAGGATTCAGGCATAATTGAAGATCGGTATCAAAGAATGAACCAAAGAAAATAAACGAGCTTCCCTGTGTGCAATTAAGCATAAACAACAAGTATTTTTTACTTTTATGCTAAAATTGACAATATCATTCAAATCTCAAAGAGTTATGAAAATAAATGTTAACTATGTGTCAATATCTATATACTGGAAATTTTCATGTGTTTTGGTAAAAAAAGTGGAAGTGCGTGCACCATTCGGGTGAGATTTTTTTTAGCTAATACAGATTAAAAGTAATTCTTTACTTTTACTCCGGAATTTAAAAAATTATTCAACTTTTGAGAACTTATAGAAAATTTATAGGTAAATCTAGGTGTCAATATAGTAGATTATGAAAATTTCACATACTTAATATTAGAATAAGTCAAAGTGCAGACATCGCAAAATTATAAAAAGAAGTCAAAAGTCAAAAGTAAAAACTACTACGGAAAAAATTTTAAATTAAAGAAAAAGTTAAAAAATAAAAATCGATTTAAACACGCTGGAAAAAAGTAAAGTAGATCCTATGGAAGAGCGAAAAAGGAGAAATGGCAATGAAAAGAAGAACGAATAAACACGCTCACATTCGTTTTTTTGAGTTGTGAAACTGTCTCTCCAAGTCTCTAAATTGTTTCTCAATTACCAATGTCATCCAAAACCATTCTTTTCAATCTAATCCCTAACTTTTGAAAATTGATTCGATTTAACTCCTCTGCTAAAAAGTATGATACCGTGAACCCTATACTGTTAACTTACCGTTAACCTGTTTACAGTGGCTTTCTTGTGATATTCATGTCCCCCTCTCTCTTAAAAAAGATAAAATGAAATGAAAAAGATGACGCACTATCGTTGCCAAACCCACCACCACGGCCTCGAGCAACCACCGGCAACGATTGTCCGCAGATGCACCACTCAGACAGTCATCACCACACCAAAGCCATGCTCGAGCACTACCAAGACCACCACGAAAAGCTTCCCTCAGATGACACTGCAAGCACCTCTCTCTCTCTCTCTCTCTCTCTCTCTCTCTCTCTCTCTCTCTCTCTCTCTCTCTCTCTCTCTCATTAGATCTCAGGCGCCTAACCTCAGATTCAAGGTCGCGACCTCCGATTTAAGGCCGCCACGACTTCAAACATGAGGTTTCAAGGGCTCGAAACTAAGTTTGCAACTCAGATCTAAGAGATACAGAGAGTCGTGTGATCACAGAGAGAAAAGGCGATGCCGAAGTGGTTCTGGTGGTAAGACACCGCGAGTTAGGTGTCAGTGACGACGGTGATGGTATGGGCGTGGTGCTTATGGCTTGCATCGGCGTCGTAGGTGATATGGAGGAGGAGAAAGAAAGAAGAAATAAGAAGAACAAAATAATAAAAGGAAAAGAAATTCTGGCTTGAAAATATTCAGAAGTATGATATATCATCCCCATCAATTATTTTGTCCACTCAACAGTGGCTTAAAAAAAGAGATAAGTATACCAAAAGTCCTAAAATTTATCACGAAAATGCAATTAAATCTTAGTGCAATCAAGTCTTAAATCCCGTCGTAAAAGTGCAATTGAATTCTAAAACTTTCTAAAAGTATAATGAAATTATAAAACTTGTCAAGTTGGTTCAATCGAATCCTTCCATTGATTCCATCCAACTTGACAAACGAAAAATGCTAACAAGTTTTAAGATTTGATTGCGTCAATTTGTCAAGTTGGTGCACTTGACAAGTTTTGGAACTTCTTACAAGTTTTAAGACTTGATGTAAGACTCAATTGCACTTTTCTAACAAGTTTTACAACTTGATTGCGTTTTTTGAAAGTTTTAGGACTCTATTGCATTTTCGTGACAGTACACTTATCCTAAAAAAAAATGCATGATGTGACATTGCAATTTAGATTGATAAAAGTGCAGAAAAGAAGTTGAATATTTAGAAAAGTCCAGACATCATCATTATCCTTACTCCTTCCAAATCCAGCAGCCAATCTAAGTTAGGCTCTTCTTCTTCAAATAGAGTCATCTCCAAGCTATCGAGACTGTCCTTGAGAGGCCCCCACGGGACGGCTTTTTCCTCTTCAACCAGAGTCATCTCCAAGCTATCGAGATTGTAAGGCACCATGAGTTAGGGTCATGGTGGTAAGGCACCACGAGTTAGGTGTCAGTGACAACGGTGATGGTAGGGACACGGTGGCTATGGTTCGCAGCCGCATTGTTGGTGGTGGAGGAAAGAGGAGGAAGAAGAAAGAAAGAAAGAAATGGGAAGAAGAAAAAATAAACGGAAAAAAAATTCTGACTTGGAAATATTTTTAAAAACAATGATGTGGCGTTCCTCATCAATTATTTGGTCCAGTCAGCAATGGCTCGGCCGTCCACATTTAAAAAAAAAGCGCAAAGTACAGGAGCAATCGCCCTCCTCTTAATCACGCAACCAATCTAAGCTAGCCTCTTCTTCAGACGCTATTATATTCAAGACATTGAGACTGCTCTTGAGAGGCCCCCACAGGACGGCTTTTTCTTTCTCACAAAACACCTTTCTTAAGTTCCTCAGCTTCACGATCGTTGGTGGCAGCACAGACAACCTTAGACATCCTCTCATGTGTATTTTCTGGAGATTAACCATTTGTCCAATTTGATCAGGCAAGGTGCTCAGGTTATTGCAATCAGATATATTTAGAAATCTCAACTTTTGGAGGCTTCCAATTGAGTCTGGTAATTGTGACAAGTTTGTGCAGGAATTAAGCCTGACCACTTCGAGGGACGCCGATAACCCAATTTGTTCAGGGAGAGCATAGAAATCAGGGCAGTTTGTGATGCTAAGCTTCCTCAAAGTCTTTATCTGACAGATGCAATCTGGTAACGTCACAAGATAGTTGCAATAGTCAATGTCGAGTTCCTCTAAGGTGGGCATTGCATCAGAGATTTTTGCGTCGTTCGGCATCGAAGCCTGACTGATGTTGCACATGAAAAAGGATATCTTTCGCAAACTGTGCAACCGTAATTTTCCCAAGTTTAGGAAAGAAACCATGACGTGTTCGAGCCTAATCCTCCTTAAATTGGAACCGATGACATGGAAATTGTGCAGCTCAGCAGGAAGAAAACCGTAGTTTGTTACTATGAGTACCTTGAGCTTGTCCGCCTTCTCAATGAATTCAGGCAAAGCATAAGATTCGGTTTGCTCGTAGGTCTGGAAGTTCAAGACAAGAGCCTCAGCTTTAGGCAATTCAAGATTTGGCCAGGGTGTTGAGAATGTTTTATCTGCATTATGATTGTAGAAGGTTAGAAGGTAACTGACAACCAACCAGTTGATTTTTCCTTACTGGTCTTTGAGAGAGTGAGAGATTTACTAACCTGTGGAGATGGACACTAGACGAGCACAGAGAGGCTGTTGCTTTTGCTCGCTCCACCAGCCAGGAAAACTATTTCCAATCAACTCCAGAATGATTCTCTCTCTCTTCTCTATTTCCGCCTCGTTGCACTCCCTGATAGCCAGCTCTCTGAGCATATAGTGCTGCATAGTATAGTGGCCGCTGTAATATTCGTTGTCATCACTTGAATCTTTCCTGTATGTATGGAATCAAACACTCAAACATCAGCATTTGCGACCGAGTTTCTTATGCTAAAATCTAGTGCTAGGCATTTGATGATATCAATTCATTAGTAAAAGAAAACATCGATCTTTCCCACTCTTGAGAAATAAAGTCAGGTGTTAGAAATGTTCTCTCCAGGCCTTTGTATAAATCATTTGGCTTTTACAATGCAGAACACTCTATAGCTGAAGGTTAGAATAAGGTCACCACAAGTATCATAACTTTCATACGGTGCTCAATTGAGTACCATAACGTTTTTTTCCGACCGCTTTAGTGTTATAATTTTCAATTGATTACTTGAGTGTCAACTTTTTAAAAACGTTCACCCAAGTGCCAAAAATCCGACGTGGCATGGCACTATGGTGAACATTTTTAAGAATTTGTGGCATTCAGATTATCGATTGAAAAGTTATATGGCAATGAAGTTATCAGAAAAAAAAAAAAGTCATGGCATTAAAGTGAGCACTATAACCAAGTGATCAAAAAAAAAAAGTTATTGGCAATTAAATTAGCGCCGTACGAAAGTTACGATACTTGTATTGTTCTCTTCTTGTCTTGGTGCAAAGATCTCATCATGCCTTTGTCCATTTCACACTTCGTGTCAGGAAAAGCTAATCAGATGCCGGCCAGAATCTGATGAGGTACACTTAGAGAAGTAGAAAACTGGAAAAGTTGGAATGAGAGAACAAAATGAACTTCAGAGCCATACCTGCTGACTACGAGATTAGCTAGATTCCTGTAAACGACTCTATGGAGGTCATTAATGGCGCGCATGCCATCGCAATCTAGGTTATACAATTCCACCCACATATCAATGAGAGCAGTGGTGGAAATCATGCGATCCTTCGGAAACGACCCGAGGTCCATGAAACGCTCCTTGACCCAAGGTTCACCATCCAAGTCGTCCAAGCTCTTTTTGAGATAATCGAGAATGTCATTCTCCGAATCAGAAAGGAAATGGCCTTTAGCCAATTCAAGAAGTGTTATTTGCCAGAATGAACGATCCGCTCCTCGAAGAGTCTCGGCGACGACTGTAAGAGCCAATGGCAATCCATTACAGAGTTTCACTATCTGCCACAGGGAAAAAAGAACAGAAAACATTAATAGGAAGTTGATAGGAATCATGATGCAAGGATATGCAGGTTGATTGTATTAAACATTTTTTCTAAAGAAAAAAGATTAACTCAGAGTTCTGACGACCATAAGAAATCCTGGAGTATACCTGATCCAAGAGCTTATCATCTGGCGCATCCACGCTTCTATCATCAACAGTCACGCATCGACGGAAAAGTTCCACGGCTTCGTCATGAGTCAGTGGGTTCAGGTGATGCACAGGACGAAAAGCAGGAAACTCATACCTTGATGTCACCACAATTTTGTAATCTCTGAGGTCATTGCAGATGAAATTCATAATGAAGGATTCAGATCCAGTCCAGACATCGTCCAGCACAAGCAACACAGGATCTTGTCCGATTGCGTTGAGCAGTTGGTGCAAGCAGCGAACTGCATCATCTTCTGTTTCAATCACGGGTACCTTGCATTGATTATGTTGATACATTTTCTGGACAATGTCTATCAGGTTGGGCTTCTTCGAGACAGGGACAAACATGATTTTGGCCTTAAATTTGCCTATATGGAAACCACAGTTAGTCTGACTCCTATCGCTTGCAAAGGGAATGAAATTTTGCGACAAAACTTTCCATTTATTGAATTCGGTAGGATAAGTTTCAGAGCTAAGTAGATACCACATAGCAGAAGAAATAATAAGTCTGAAGCCTATGGCTGTGAAGAGGAGGGTTCAGCTAATTAGGAAAGGCACACAGCGCAATCAAACAGAGGCAAGTTACTGCATATTTAAAAGCTTGGGAAAGATCTATCAGATTGTACACGATATCAAACCCGAAATGGAATGATGAGAAAAAGATTCTTCTTGATGAAACATCCATCTGTATAATACCCAAGCAATTCTTTGTGCAAACATTCACATCTACCAGAAACCGAATTGCTTGACAGAGAAAGCAGGTAATGGGATTCAATCAGTCAAATATGTCCAAAAGTGGAACATCGTTCAGGCAACAGCTCCTATACACGTAAATGGCCAACCAAAAGACTCTTAGAGGTGACCAATTGGCAAGGATCAATTCAATAAATTCATCTCAGCATCTTTTAGTTCTGGATCAATCAAAATAACAATCACATATACCTTTAATTGCTGCGTCATGACACAATTTCTTAAGCAGAGTGGTCTTCCCACACCCACCCGGGGCGGTCACAGCAATCACAGACACTCCCTCCTCGAGCAACTGCTCCTTGAGCTTCCTCAAGGATGCCTCCACCTCCGACCCGACAATGAAATGGGGCGCCGCGGGGACTGCAAGGTTGCCCGAAGCCTCAAACCCGCTCTGGAGGGCCCCGGTGTTCACTATCACGGAAATTGACTCCTTGACCTTCTTCACGTCTCCCCCGATCCGCTTCAACTCCACCAATGTCTCCGTGCCATTCCTCGCATTCACCAGCGGCATGTAAATCTGGAACTTCTCCACGACTTCTGCGTTGAAGTTGGTCAGCTTTTTCGAGTGCGTATACTTCATCCACAGGTTGAACTTGTGGATCTTCGAGCACTTGTTGACCAGTCCTTCGCCTTGCTTCAATAGGTTCTCGATCCGACCCATCTCTTGCGGACGGTCCAGCAGATTGTTGAACTTGTCGATCTCATTGATGATTGGGCCTATGGAGCTCAATGTGGACTCGATCTTCTTTAGCTGGCCGCCAAACGCAGCAACAGTTTTCCCTAGGTTCTTAACGAGCTCAAGCAGCTCCCTGAATGCTGTTTCCACAGCAGCTGCTGCAAAATCAACCGGCCTTTCTTGTTCATTGTGCCTTCTTGAAGACCCAGGCCCGCTCTGTAGGGCCTCGCCATACACTTCACCGGAATGGTCCTTTGCTTCGATTTTTGCGGTCAACTCCTCCAGCTTCAACCTCATCAGCATGACGTCTCTCGTGATCAGTAGCACCATGTAAATATCGATCTCGCTCTTGAGCGCCGCGAGGAATCCGGTCAGCTCGTTCGAGAGCTTATACTGCTTCGACATGTGAAGCCTGGAAGTCCCCGAGCACTTGTTGACCAGTCTTTTGCCTTCATCCAATAGTTCTTTGATCCGATCCATCCCTCTTGGACGGTCCAGCAGTGTGTTGCACCTGTCGATTTCATTGATGATTGGTTCTATCGTCCTTAAGGTGGATTCGATGTTCTTGAGCTGGGGACGAAACGCAGCAACTGTTGTCAATACATTCTTAACGAGTGCGAGCAACTCGCCGAATGCCATTCCCACAGCAGCTCCTGCGACGTCAATGGGCATTTCTTGTTCTTTCTTTTTTCACAGACCAAACAAGCCAAGAAAATCCAAAACTTTGATGGGTAGCCAAGGATTCTTCGAAGAACTGAAACCCACGTCCCTAGATTTGCAGAGGACGCTTTTCTCTGTTTTTTGTTTCTGGATTTTTCGCAGTGCGAAGAAGGAAGTGGAGCTTTTAGGCCTTTGAAGCAACAACGGAGAATGAGATGAGCGAAAGGGTGAGAGAGACTCTTTTTATAAAAGGGGGACTAATTCCAAGAAAAGTCATAATTTTGGCTTCAACTTTTTTTTATTTCAATAAAAAGCATAAATTTTTATGTAAATCTCAAATCTAACCCCGTGATGTAAAATTTTTAAATTATTCGGACCAGATTTGAGATTTAAGTTAAAATTAGTGATTTTTTATAAGATAAAAAAAGATCATATCAGAATTATCATTTGAGGTAAGGTTTGTGTTTTTTTTTTTAAGAATTAGGCCATAAAAGGGATAGTTAAAGTTTAGAGAAATGCTGAAGTAACGGTGGGAAATCAACTGTAAGAGTTATGGCCATTTCTGGCCACAAATTTCTTCAAGGAAACCTGGAAACTTCTTTGTCCAGTTTCCACTCACACTTGTACACCTTCCTTTTATCTGCTCTTTTTTGATGTTATAAATCTTTTCTTTTGAGAGTAATTTCTCTAAAAAATTCTTTTGTTTTTTCCCTTGAAGTCTGCAAACTCGTTATGTAGAGAATGTGTAAACAAGTTATACAGTGAATTTTTTCATCTTTTTTTCAGAAACTAGTTTCCTTTTTAAATTTTTCTGACACTTGTGAAAACACACAAAAATTCTACAATATGCATCTAATGCAAGTATGTATGTTTTTTACCCACTGACCCAACTCTATGGAATTGTATGTAGTATTCCAGTAAATCATATGAATTTTATGCTTAGAGACATTTTTCTAATAGAATATTATCTTAAACATATCATGAATGACGGATATGTATTATTTAACGAGATATGGCATTTTAAATTGTGATGCATTATTTGCTAGATAGTCAATGTGTCATGCTCTAATTGATCACTCTAATGTGATTGATTACAGTGGCATGCTTTAATGGGCCTATTTTATTGTGATAATTTCATTTTTTGGGTGCCGGAGTACTTTTGTAGAAGCAATATTTTGGTAAGGTGCATCTGATTTTCTTTTTTAGGTTTAAAATGAGCGTGGCAAAATTATTTGCAAATAACCTAAACTAGAACTTTAAGCACACAAAAAAATGGCTAAAATAAGACAAAAAGGACCAAGCTCAACCTTTCGATATAATAGGGGTTGAAGAAGACCTGTCTTAGTCGTTTAACAAGTCCGAGTCGCAAGTTGCAAAGCGATGGCCCAGCTTTAATAAGTCTTTCGTAAGAGACAGCTATCGGCACGACTTTTATCCAGCCCGCTGTCATCCAGCGAGCTTGAATTGACCATGAGGTAGATAGATCCGGTGGCCAAAACGTTAAAAAAAGAACGATCGCATGTAGGTGGGGTAATCTTGAGGACGAGCTGAAAATATTAGGTGAGTTAAATATGTCACGTAGGATGATATAACACTCCATCCAATAAATGCCACTTGGCAAGGTGGGTCCCGCTATAAATCTTTATTCTCTCCCATCTGTCTCTCTCTTCTCCATTACTTCTCTCCCTGAATATTATCTCCCCGCCGTTAACCTCTCCCTCTCACCGGCTTTTCACCATGTTCTTCTTCTGGTACACATATCAGAAGCACACCACCGCCGTTATGGACCCACAATGCAGAAGCAGAGCTTCATTTTTGCTTCTTCTTTTATTTTTGGGGCCATAATCTATGCATTGTGGCCGCGAGCGACGAGCGTTGCTCGCGGTCATGGCTCCAGATCTGGCAAAACTTCCAGATCAAGCCGTCCCTTCCGGCGTTGCTCGATGCCAACGATGACCATGGACATGGATGAGGGTCGTCCATGGCTGGCCGCGAGCGTCGTCCATGGCTGGCGTCCATGGTGGATGGGAAAGATGGATACCCAAGGGGATCAATAGCATGCCCGAACGATGCCGACGATGGCCATGGATGAGCGTCGGCGTGCTCATGAGCGGTCGTCAATGGTTGGCTGGTGACGCTGCAATCCAGGCGCGAGCGTCGTCCATGGTCTCGAAAGGCAAAAAGAAAAGGAAGAAAACGGTGAAAGAAGAAAGGGAGTAACGAAGGAGAGAGAAGATCTAAAAGCGGAGTTACGTGGGACTGCAAAATCTAACTGGTGAGCTCAGTTCGCCACGTCTCATCAGATGAATGGTGTGCTATATATGCGAAATATTCAATTCACCTAATATTTTCTGCGAACGAGGAGCGAGTTAGGGTAATAGCGGGTTGACTGGGTCGAAAAGGGCGGGGCCCGAAAAAAGAAAACATCGAATAGTCAAACAAAGAGAAAAAAGGACGCTCAGCTTAATTAACTGGGAGAGAGAGAACGCGCAAGTGGAAAGAAAGGGAAAGAAAGAAGAAGAAAAAGAAAGGGAAAGAGGAAGAAAGAGAAGGGAAAAAGGAAAGGGGTTGGTTCACGTCACGCGACTCTGCTCAGCCCTTCCCGACGGTATAACTTAGGCCCGTTTGATTCGGCTTTTAGAATGCTCATTTAGAAAATGCAAATACCTTTAGGTGAAAATCACTTAGGAAAATGCAAATGGCGTTTGGTAAAAATCATTTGAAAGCCACTTGGGAAAATGCAAGTTGTATTTGGTTATTTTTATTTACAAATGAGCTTTGGGAGTTTTTTTTTTTTAAAGCACCCTTCGCCGGCTCCGGCGAAGGGCTACGGCCACCGGCGAGCCAGATCTGGCACCGGCGGCCGTCACCCGACCTCAGGCGACTGTCGCTTGAGGTCGCACGACCCTAGGCGGCCGTCGCCTGAGGTCACGCGAACCAGGAGGCGACGGCCTGGGTCGAGCGACCCCAACGACGGCGTCACCTGGGTCGCGCGACTCCAGGCGGCGACGGCCTGGGTCAAGCGACCCCAGGCGACCGTCACCGCCTGGTCACGCGACCTCAGGCGGCGACGGCCTGGGTCGAGCGACCCCAGCGATGGAGTCGCCTGGGCGGTTGCCCAACCCCAGGCGACCTCGCCGGCCACCCTCGTCGGCCGCCCTCGCCGGTTGCCTGGTGAAGAAAATGAACAGCTTCAAACCAAAAAAAAAAAAAAAAGACAGTAAACAGTAGCATTCGTGGAATGCTGAAAGCCCAAAGCTAGTCCGGACCAGCTTTGGGCTTTCAGCATTCCAAATGCTAGCATTTGGCCAATGCTAGCATGAAAGCTGAACCAAATGGGCCCTTAGTCCTCCACCACGTATCAGTCTTCTTCCAGCGATGCCCAACGAAACCCCGACGTGCAGCGTGTCCTCAAGCCACCGTGAGCCAGCCATTGCCGAGCCTTATCTTAACTTTGCAGGTTGCCCGGCGATTGAGAAAATTCATCGTCGCTGCCTATCCATTCGCAGCTCTTGCTTGCCCTTCATCCACATCGCCACTGCTATCGGTGTGTTGTCGTCCGCAGCCTCACCGTTGCCGTGAACATCCTCGCCTCCCTGTGTGCTTCACTGCGAAACTCTCATTGCCGGTCATTGTTGGAAACCAATTTTCCAAATTAGGCAATCTCCTAAACCAAACCCATTTCAAATATTTAATTTCCTAATTTGAGATATATTGATTTTAACTTGATTTGGTGTGAGATTTTTGGCGCTTTCCAAATAGGAAATTTACTCTTTCGAGTCATGCATATAAATGGGCTTTCGATCTTTAAGATCTAAGATCGGATCCCCGATTAAAATTGTTTCCTATTATGTGCTGACAACTTCAATGGCAATTAAAAGATAAGCTTTAATTTTTATGGGTCTTCTCATGAAATTGGTATGTTTAATAAGTTACATGACTATTTAACTTAGTCAATTTATTTTTTAGAAAAACATTAACACCATGAACTTGTTATAGTATAACAATGATTTGCGTTATCATTCGGTTATTTATTATAGTCATTAGTAGTAAAAATATGAAAAAAAAATATATAGCTTATTTATTTGAATACGTTGATGTAGGCTATGTCATTATAAGGCCGACATGACCCATCTAGTTAAGCAGGTCTTTAACATCAACTGAAACACTCCAACTTCGTAAAGTTATATTATCACATCAAGTCAACAATTACCACCCCTAATTTATCAATGTTACATATATCGATTTATATAATTTGTTCAATAAATACATCGTGCTTGAATTGTAACTGAATTTTACATAACGAAATCATGGTACGAAAAGTACCAAAAAATTTTACAGCTTCAGTTATAATCAAGAAGGTTTTTTTGTGGTAAATCTGATGAAAACCACGTTACAACATGTTACCATACTGTCCTAAGAACCAAAAAATATAATAAAAAGAAATAAAAACCGGCATTTGCCAGTTGTGCTTACTGCCGGTACTAGGGAAAATTACCTAAAAAGTCCTAAACCTATTATACAGTGGTCAATTTAGTCATAAATATTTCAATTGTACCAATTTAGTCCTAAACCTTTTGACAATTTATCAATTTAGTCCTTCGGGCCAATTTTGGTTGAAAATAACTGATATGGACAATTTTTGCAATTTTTTTTAATTTATTAGTCATTTATTTCGCTTTTTCTTTCTTCCTCTGCCGATCGCCAAGCCACGGCAATTGCCGCGACCAGCCACTGGCGAGGTTCGCACGGTCGTATCCAGTGGCTGATCACTGGCCATCACTGAGCCTTGGCAACCGGCAAACGTAGAAAGAAAATAAAAAGAAAAGAAGAAAAGAAAAATAATAGCAAAATTTTAAAAAAATTCTAAAAGTTTTTTTAAAAAGTAAAAATGTTGTCAACGTCAACACTGGCCGGCCACATAAGATGGCCAGTAACCGTGTGGCATCCTGAAATTTCATGGCCAAAGATTAAACAACCCTAATGGATTAGGGCGCTCGTCGACGGAAATAAGGAAAATGAAATTGGAAGTTTAGCGTCGCGATTATCATTTTTTTTCTGAATCGCAAGTTTGGACTCTTGGGATCAATTACCGTTGGGCCGACTAACCCGACGTCGCGTCGTCCGCGCGAGCCGACTCCGTGTCAAACCCGATGCATGCAAGGGAAGTTGAAGGGCCATCAGATAACCCCACAG